TGGGCCGTAGACAGAGTCACACGGGAGGGGGGGCATAGTGGGAGGGACGGGCGGGCGGTCAGGGGAACCGGAGGAAAGGCTAAGGAGAAAAAGGGCAGACATCAGCTACTACTGCTGCTGCTGTGTGTCCTTTCTAGGACTTCCAGCCCCACCTCGGCTACCACCTGCACTCTCCAAAGCAGCACCCCTAGGACTACCACCCCCAGATGCACCACCCGCAGAACCAGTACCCCCAGAGTCAGCATCCCCTGAACCAGCACCCCCAGAGCCCATTGTCCCCTGCTGCTGCTGCTGCTACGACGGCTGCAGCTGCTGCTCAAGAGAGGGGTGAGGCGACGAGGTGCCTGGAGCACCGAGGCTTGGGGGGAAGGCGCCGTCGGGACAGCACGTGCAACCCCAGCGACGGGGCCCAGCAGACTCCCCCACGGACCTAACCGAGGGGAACAAAGTGGTGTGAGAGACACCAGATGGGGCCAGGTGGGATGGGAGGGGTGCGGCAGGCTGGTCAGGAGTGAAGAAGAGAGGAGGAGGACGTCGGCGAGAGCCACGGTAAGGGAAATGGGTATAGTAAGGGAATGTCTCATCAAAGGTAAAACAACCATTCAGTGGCGTCAATAGGAAATCCGAGGAAGACACAGGGGAGAGTGCAGGCTGAGTGCTTGTCCGCGTCAGAGGCGCGAACCTGAACAAGGCTGCCCTAGACATGGAACGCGGAGGGCGTCACCAGGAGATCCGGTCCAGAGGAGGGTTGGCGAAACCTGTGGGCAGAGGTTAAGCTGGTGAGGTGCGTAATGCATGGCGAACGGCCACAGAAAATGGGATGCACCGGCGTGGACCAAGAAGGTGCAAAGTACCTCCATGAACAAGCCGATGTGTTGCTCAGCGACCCCATTTAGCTGTGGGGATTCCGGCAGTGTGTACGTCTGGCGGGTGCCCTCCGCACGGCATAACTAAACTAGATGGCTGGAGGCAAACTCACCACCATGGTCGGAGTGTTAACAAACCACGGGATGGCGGTGCTGGGTGCAGGCGGCAAGCAGCCATGGGGTGAGCATCAGGCACGTCGGCCTTCCGCTCAAAAGGGGAACACTGTGGTGAAGTGCGAGAAGTGCTCCCTGTTAAGACCATGGACTAGAGCTGGGCGCTAGATGTCCATGTGCAGTGTCTGTAGCAGTGTTGTGGTAGGAGGAAATGAGAAGGAGTGAGGGGCGGCGTGTTGTCAGCCCTGACGTATATAGATATGGGAGTGATGCAGGGACTCCAATGACTGGACCGTGCTGGGACATGTGCCCAAGACGCGGAAATGCAGGGCAACCTAAGGTTCGGGTGGGCAATGGAGCGACAGGAGCACGGCGTGGCTACCTTATCGGACGCATCAACTGGCAAGGAGTCTGTGTGCGGAGTCAAGATACCGGACGCTGGGTCACGCTCAAAAGTGGCTAGAGGGGCACTCGTGGCTGTGTTTGTACAGGCTGCGTGTCTCGTGTAGCAAGGAAACGTGGTGATGACTCCTCTGTCCTGGATGTGACCTACACCTACTATATTCCTGGCAAACATAGGATGTGCGTACATGTGAGGGAGTCAGAGCGGACAGCTGGACAGGGGAGAGCGGTGGTGTTGTGTGCGACTACTGTGGCTGGGGAGTCTGCTAGGGAGATCTTTTCTGGTGCAGGAAGCGAAGTGAGAGTAATACAGTCTCAAAAGATGCAGTGAGACCCGCTAGAGTCTAATGTTAAGGAGAGGTCTGCTGCAGCGTGGGCCAGTGGGGTAACGCTAGGAGAGCCTATGCAACAAGGGAGTCTATGCTTGATGCAGCAGAGGATCCTAGACTATGTACAACAGTGGATCCTGAACAATATTGAGCAGGATACAAGGAACCAGAAGCACTAGAATCATCAACATACAGAGAGTACATGTTATGCTTCATTTGAATCCTATTGAGATCAAAGATATGAATGCCACGATGAAGCAAAGAGGGCTAATGAGGTACCTGCTGCTAAACTACAAAGTAGCAGCGTTAGAGGTCGTCCTGGCGGTGGTAGCAGCGGAGCGCTGCTGGCAGCGCGCCAGCAGCGAGCTGGCGGCGGCTGGCTGGCGGTGGCGAGCTGCAAGCTGGAGGTTGGCGGCTGGCGGCGAACTACATGCTGGCGCTGGTGGCTGGATGCTGGCTGCTGTTAAGGACTATTGTTAAGTGTCTCTGTGTGTGTGCCATACAGCAACAGCTTCTCTTGTGTCATTCACTGGTCCCATCCCAACCAATCGTGAGTGTGCAGCTGGAGAATAGCAAGGCATTTATTGTTGAAGAGGATAATGTGAAGCTGAAATGATGGTTGGATTAACAGGATATTTCAGGCTACATTATTACGTGCTACAAGGATCAATCGAAAGCATGAGTGATCATTGCTTGAGTAATTTGTGTGTCTTGTTGGCTAAATACATTGACAAGCACCATAGGAATTCTACCATTTTGCTTCACCCCCGGACATACACCCTTGCCAATCTAGGGAGCCCCTCAACACTGTCAGTCAGGAAGCTTCTGCAGCGCTAGAGATCCTTCAAGTTTGGTAGCAAGGAAAGGGATTCTGGCAGCTGTACCAGCTGGCTGCACCAAGAAATCACAAAAGACTCCAGGCAGGGTAGTCTTCCAAGCTGGGCAGCAAGTGAGGCGCGTTTTGAGCACTGCTCAATCTGAAGATGCATGAACTTTGGGAGACATGGCAGGAAAGAGGGAAGCTCGGCAATACCATGGCACTATTCCCGTTGACTTGCGTGGGAAGGGCGAAAAGCCTGCTAATGCTACTAGGAAACGTGGTCAATCAGTCACACTTCACTATAGCAAGCACCTTGAGGCAGGGCAAAAGAGTCGACTCCTGTGGGAGTTGAGTTTTGCAGGGGGAAGGGCAGGGGCAAGGGTAGCCATTCAGGTCGAGTAATCCCAGGGAGTGCCAGCGACTGTGCCTGGTAAATAGTAGAGCTTGCTCCCACGGTTGACAATGAGGGAATGCAGGCACGGCGTATGGGCAGGAAGGGCATAGAAAATGTTTCGCAGATCGTGCTGCAGCCAAGCAGGAGCAGCTCCTGATGCCCACAGTGCCAGGGCTAGTCTAGACTTGTGAGGCATCTCCTTTGCCTGATTCTCGGGCATGTGCTGCTTCCAATGGGGCCTCTTTCTGACCCCATTTCTAAAGCCTAGATACCAAATTATCCCACGCAAGTCAACGGGCAGCATTTGGGCTGGACTGGCAGCACTTCTAATTCTCTCTCTCTCTCTCTCTCTCTCTCTCTCTCTCTCTCTCTCTCTCTCTCTCTCTCTCTCTCTCTCTCTCTCTCTCTCTCTCTCTCTCTCTCTCTCTCTCTCTCAAGCAGACTTTCTCATTGACTGTGGAAGCAGGATACAGATAAAAATCAACGAAGGAAATAAACGGAATAGGCTACCCCAACGCTATTCTATGTGTCCTCCTGTGGGACAACTACTGATACCTAGGAATCTGCCACGTCCACAGTGGCGAACAGGTCCCCCAGGCTGGGTGCCCAGGGGTCAGACCTGGGCGCAGGGAAGGCCGCCTGGAGTGCTTCCCCAGAGCGGGAGATGATGGTCCCGGCTTGTAGCCACTGCAGTAGGACCGACCATTGCTGTCTGTAGTGCGAGTAGAGCTGCTTGGCCGGTGTAGTTAGTTCGTTGGAGCGGAAGCGGACCAGGGCTGCATTATCGGCGAGCATCTTGAGGAAAGCCGCCGTGGACGAGGCAAGTGCCCCATATGTCTCCACAGCCAGGTCAAAGAACCCCACATATGCCGGCCGGGTTAAGTATAGCCACTCCTTGGCTCTGGCCGCCTCTCGGGCAGCCCAACCCGGCTGACCGCCTGCGCCCTTGTCTCGGCGTTGCAGCACTGGGTCTGTCACGGTCACGTCTGTAACCCACGTCACTCTCTCTCTCTCTCTCTCTCTCTCTCTCTCTCTCTCTCTCTCTCTCTCTCTCTCTCTCTCTCTCTCTCTCTCTCTCGCTCTCTCTCTCTCTCTCTCAAGCGGTCCGTTTATTGCTTGGAAACCTTGGTACAGGCTAGGCATGCAAGGGGCGGCAAGTCAAGGTACGTGCATGTTTTGGGGACTCGGATCTACTCGGTCTCCCCTAGGGGCTCTGCTATGGCAAAGCAGACCCCGGGTGCCATATCGGCGTCGGGGGTGCCCACTGGGGCATGGGTGGCGGGGGAGGCTTCATTGACTTTGCCCAGGTAAGCCAAGGCATGTGCCCGCTGCAGCGTCACTGACCAGCGTTGGCGAAACTGGTGGAGCAGTTTCGCTGCATGGTAGGAGCTGGGGTCTGCATTGAAAAGTCTCCTGGCCCCTGTGTCAGCCAGCAGCTTCAAGAAGGTAGGGACCTTGGCGCAGGGGCAGCCATATGTCTCGACTGCCAGTGGGAAGAACCCGACGTAGGGAGCCCGATTTTGGTAATGGGAGATTTTCTTGTCAGCTTGCTCCCGGGCCATGTATCCGCGTCCTTTCCTTGCGTCCGGGTCCCGGCTGCTGATCGGATCTGTTACGGTGACGTCACAGATCCAGACGGCTCCGGAACTGCGGTCTCGGAGGGCGAGGTCGGCCTTGTGGCCATCTACGGGGCTGTAGATGGTAGTCTCCTTGGTGACTATAAAGTCAGCATCTCGGGCCATCCGGATACTCTCGTCCCGCAGGGCATTGTGGGTGTCAGTCCGGCCGTGCCCGGTGCCACACCGGAGCAGGTGGTTGGGCAGCCTACTGTCGAGGATTTCGAATTCCTCGGCGCAGTTGCAAATGCGGGGGGCTGGGAATGGAAGGCCGAGGCGGAAGGCCAGGGCGATGGCAAAGTGTGGAGCTTCGAGGCGGAGGGATGGGAAGATGGGGATGGCATGGAGCCAGTCCCCTGCTCCATATCCAGCCAGGGAAAAGAGGCGTTGGGTGTGCCCGGAGTGTGGGTTTGGGTCCATTGTCCGCGTGGCTGCAACCTGATCGGCGTACCGCACGGCCTGGACTTCGAGGGATAGGCGGTGTTGTAGTGGGGAGCCGGAGGGTTCCCTCCTCTCGGAATGCAGGAGCTCCCGGGCTCGTGGGGGCATCGCCGTTTCACACTTCGCCAGCCAGGTATGCAAGTGGGTGGGGCTGGTGAAGGGTGGCGTGAGGTGCCGGACAGCATCGGCCAGGGGCCCGTCTGACGCAGCTGGGAGGGCAGCCAAGAGGCCCTGGGCTTGGGTGAGGCTGGTGAGGAAGGCTGGGTATCCCTCAATTGCGGGGTCGGTTAGACCCAGTCCTCCAAGAGAGGGAGGGAGGGACGCTTGAGCCCAAGTGCGTGCCCGCTCCACCTCGCCTCGAGGTGGTTGGAGGTTGCAGGCACGCAAGAGGGTATGGAAAAGTTCCCTACCCCAGTCGGACCAGACGTCCAGGGGTAGGAAGTCAAGGGGGGTGGTGCGGGTTAAGTATGAGATACGCCGAGATACGCAGCGTGTGAGGAGGAGGGATGCTGACTGAGGGTCCATCGTGGCCAGCGTGGCAAGGGGTTCAGCCAGCAGGGCCAGCTGGGTGCGGAGGAAGGTGGCTGTGCCCTCGGTTGTGCCTATGAAGCTGCCAAGCATGCGGACCCCTTCTGTATTGAAAGGAATGTCCGGGGGGAGGCGGTCAGGGGCAGGGTTCGCGGCTGACCACGCCGCGCATTTCGCGGGGTTGTGGGAGAGACCGATGCGGTCCATGGCCGCTGTGAAGTTGGAAAACGCCGAGGTGTAGGCGCCCGGATCGCCGACGAAGGTGATGTCGTCGGTGTACGCGAGGCAGAGGACCTCGGGGTGGGCCGCGGCGGTTGTTCGGAGTGCTGGGTGGATGGCGGCTGCGAAGAGGAGGGGGCCCATGGGGTCCCCTTGGCGAACTCCCCGCGCACTGAGTAGGGGTGGGCTGTCGAACTCAGCGTCGAGGTAGAGCAGCGACGGTGCTCCGTAGGAGAATTGAATGAAGGGGAGGAGCGGGCGCAGGGGCGAGGTGTTGATGGCGTGGATGATGGCCGTGCGGTCAACGCTATTAAGAGCGTTTGAAAGGTCGACTTGAAGGATGAGTGAGCCCGGGTGCGCTGAGGTAAAACTCCTGGTGGCGTGGATAATGGTTTCTCCGCCGCTCCTGATGGCTACCCCGTATTGGTGTGGTATGAAGTAATCTTGCGCGGATTGCGTGGAGGAGATTAGTGCGGCTTTTGCCGCCAGCCGATGGAGACACTCTCCTATTGCGATGGGGCGGGTACCCCCATCTGGCTTGGTAAGGGCCAGGAGGCATGAGGAGGTAACGAGCTGGCTGACCTCGTGCGGCAGGTTACCCGCAAGTAGCCGCTGGACGAGCTTGTGGAGGTATGTGGCGACGGCGGGGTTGGACAGCGAGGCGTCGCGAAGGTGCTCGAAGGTCATCCCCGAGGGGCCTGCCCCAACTCCATTTTCGGAGCGAGCGAGGAGCTTCGCGAACGTAGCGAAATCGACTGTCGGCGGTCTGCAGTTTTCGTCAAGCCGTGGCCAGGTGAGGCTGTCAACAAGCGGAGGGGGGTGTTTTGACTTCAGCGCATCCAGGACCGTGGGGGTGGACTTGCTGACTGGGGTCGAGGTCAACGCGAGCAGTGCCCGTCGCAAACTCCCTCGACGTACCAAGCCCTCGGCGCGGGATATTTTCCCGAGAGTGTCAGGTACGTGGCGGGGGGGGGGTGGCAGGGTAACAGCAGAGGCCGCTGCCTGATGCAGTGTGTCCCACTGGCCCGCGAGAAATTGTCGAAGTCGTCGTTCCGTCGCGGGCCAGTCAGGGCGTCGTGGGGAGGGTAGGCGAAGTGTGAGGCGCGGGAGGTAAAGTAACAGGATCCAACCCTCGATGGAGGTTGGATGTTTGGCGAGGAAAAGGAGGGGTGTCAGAAGGGTGAGCGCGAAAAGTTGACGGATTTGGGGGGGTAACCGGCGGGAGAGAGGGGGTTGGCGACTGTCGCAGAGAACTGCGACGTCCCAAGTGGCGATGACGGCGAATCTGGAGGGGTCATTCGCCAGTTCTTCCGGGGACAACTGCGGGGCTGCCTGGGGATGGGTGTCCAGCGGTGCCCGAGTATTGTGCAAGCGGCTGGACCCTCGTCCCCTAGATCTGGGAGTTGGGTCAGTCTCTCGTCCTCCAGCGCGCCTGTTTGTTTCGACGTTTTCCTCCTCACTGGAGGTCTCAGTCGTGGGGTCTCCCTGGTCCCCTGGTATATAAGTTCCGTCCGCCCGTTCCTCCTCATCAGTTGTTCGTTGCAGTTCCGAGGCACTTAAAGCCCTGTTCGCTGCCTGCTGGAATCCGTTCAGCGGTCCTCCGTCGGAGGACAGATTGCCACGCCTTGCCGCCCCGCGACCGCGCCCTCCGGCCGTCCGTGTGTTGAGTCTTCTGCGTCCGCCTCCGTGGTTTCCTCTCGGGGTGGCCCTGGTCGTCGTTCGGCTTTCGTGTCGAGTCGTGGGGGGTGCCGAGTGCGGCGCGCCTCCTCGGGATGGAGCGACCAGCGCGGGAGCGTTCTGTCGATTTGGAGAGTACTGGGGACAGCGAGTCCCCCCAAGGTCGGGCGAGTTCTCCAGCACCGTCGAACCGGGATTGGGAGCGCGGGCTCCTCGTAACCTCGACGGCTCGCCAACAGACTCCCGAGCGGATGCGGGGGCAGTCGCGGGGCAGGACTGCCGCGCCCCAGAGACACGAGGAGAAATCCCCTGAGCGCGCCCTGGAAAATGGACGTGAACCAGTGGCGCGTGGCGAGGAGCATCAGTCGCCGCGCCAGCAGCGTCCGTCTCGCCGAGGGACGCCTCAGCGTCGCCCACAGGCGGTGCCGGGGCAGCAGCGCCGGACTCCGCAGGCGCCGCGCGGGCGTTCGGGCCAGCGCGTCGGCTGGAGGGCTGGCGGGGGGAGTAACCGTGGGTCCGCCGCGGAGAGGCGCCTAGGGCGGGCCGCGGCGACTCTCGAGGGCTTGTTCCGCAGTGTCGCCCAACCCCAGCAGGCTCTGGCGTATTCTCCGCAGCTGCTGGCGTCCCAGCGGTACCAGCCGGCGCACTCGCAGCCCATGCGTTTACCCCTTCCTCAGGCGCCGGCGCCGGCGTTCCCTCCCCGCAGTGTGGCAGCTCTCCCGCTCCTCGACAGCCCGCACCTCTTGGCGTCTCTTCCCGCCGCACCTCCTCCGCCGGTCCTCCCCTCGGCCGATCCCTTCGATCCGCGTCGGTTGGACGTGCGGTCCGCGGAGACATTGCCGCCCTGGCAGCCGACGCCCCCGGATGTGTCGGTGGTAGGGTGGTCCCGTGGCCCACCGCCGTTGGTGGCTCCAGCATCGTTCGGCGGGCGGGCGACAGCACCCTTTGTCCCCCCCCGCCGTTCATTGGCGTCACCGACTGGAGTTGAGGGGGGGGCAGAAGCAGCGGAGATGGGGGGAGCGGAGTCCACGGGCGAGGACTCGCCTCCTGGGGACCAGGGGCGGCGTCGCTCGGGTGGGCTGCGGATGCCGCAGAGGGCGCAGCTGGAGCGCCTGCGCGGGAGGGAGCGGCTGGCGGAGACTGCGATCCCAGTCGCCACGCTTCGTCGGCTCTGGCACGCGCAGAGGGCGATGGGGTATGCTGTGGAGATGCTGACGGACTCACACTCCGTTCTACGGAGCTCAGTGAGCCCGTGCAAGATGCCTCACGATCCGCTCCATCGCTGCGCGATGGCTGCAGCGGATCTGGCGGTCGTGTCCACGCGAGTGCAGCCTGCGCCCGCCTCGGGAACCGTGTTGGACCCGCGCCTGCTCGCCGTGATGCGGACAGTATCGGCGAGCGTAGACTCGGCTGCAGCTGTAGACATCATTGGCGGTGCCGTGTCAGCGCTGCTGCTCCTGGGGGACTATGTGAGGGCCCTGCTTGAGGAGGCTGGAGCGGACGAAGCCGCATGATGGGCTGCCGTCGTGTGTAGGTTCTGGTTGGTGAAGTGCGCTCCAGCGTGAGCGCTCTGGTAAGCTCTGTCAAGCTCTCCATGCTTGTTTGCCGAGTGTAGTGTTGGCAGGTTGTAGACTTGGGTGTGTGTATTTGATGTTGTCGTAGTTGACTTTGACGCCTTGTGTCCTTGCCGCCCCTCATGCGCGGCCGAAGGCCGCGCTGCGAGCGTCGGCGGCCGAAGGCCGCCGACGCGAGCCGCCACCAAGAGTTGGAGAAAAGAAAGAACTGGAAACTAAACAGGACAAATGAGGGAGGGAGAGGGCTTATATAGCTGGAGAGGGACTCATGCTCTCTCTCTCTCTCTCGCTCACTCTCTCCTCTCTCTCGCCACCAAGAGTTGGAGAAAAGAAAGAACTGGAAACTAAACAGGACAAATGAGGGAGGGAGAGGGCTTATATAGCTGGAGAGGGACTCATGCTCTCTCTCTCTCTCTCTCTCTCTCTCTCTCTCTCTCTCTCTCTCTCTCTCTCTCTGTTTCTCTCTCTCTCTCTCTCTCTCTCTCTCTCTCTCTCTCTCTCTTTCTCTCTCTCTCTCTCTCTCTCTCTCTCTCTCTCTCTCTCTCTCTCTCTCTCTCTCTCTCTCTCTCTCTCTCTCTAGCAGTCCTTGGTATTTGACTTATAAGGCAGTACAAGTACAGAGGAAAGAAAGGCAAGGTGGCTCCCACGGCAGCCTACTGCTGCCTGGGGTGGCCCGTCAAGGTTTAATATTTGCTGCAAGTTCCCCAAACCTGAGGGACTCCTCCATGTCCGCATGGAAGGGGAAGGCTGCCTCTGTGCACATGCTGACCTTCCCATGCAGGGGCATCGCCTGCTGGCGCTGAAGAGTTACCGACCAGCGCTGGCGGAGCGCCGCCTTGAGCTTGTTGGCTAGGGCGGACTTCTTGTACACCTGGTGGTTGTGTCTTGCAGCTAGGCCCGCCAAGAGATCAATGAACTCGAGGGTATTGGGGGAGAAGCAGCTGTATGTTTCTGTTGCCACCCCCAGCATAGTGACGAAGGTGAGGCTCTCATCATAGAGATCCCGCTTCTTCTCCTGGGCCTCAGCCGCTGCCCATCCCGTGCCCTTCTGAGCCTGAGGGTCTTGGGACGAGATGGGGTTGGTGACAGTGACGTCGCATTCCCACACTTGTCTTGAGTCCGGGTGCCGGAGGAAGACGTCCTCTCTTCGCTGTGAGGTCCCTGGAAGGTAGAGGGTGGATTCCTTGCGGGCAATCCATCCTGCCCCCTTGGCCAGCCTCATGCCGAGGTTCACAACCACGTCGTGCATGCACTTGACTCCTCCTAAGGTGCAGCGGAGCAGGTGGTTTGGGAGGCGGGGGTCGGGCATCTTCTTCTTCCTCCAGCAGTTGTACCTGCCAGAGATAGACTGCTGCAGCCCCATGCGGAAAGCGAGGGCCGTGGCAAAGTGGCCTTGGCTGTGGCTGAGGTCGGGGGAGAAGGGAATCGCTGAGAGCCAATCCCTTGCCCGGGGGCCGAGGAGGGATATAAGCCGCTGCGTATGGCCGAGCAGAGGATCGAGGGTGAGCTGTCTGCTATCGGCCACACTGCCGGTGACTATTGCCGTCCACGCTTCGTCTGGGAGTAAGTCGGGTGGGGCTCTCCTCAGCAGGAAGGTGGCTTTCCTGCCGAGCCTCTTCATCAGCAGCAGGAGCGTGATCTAAGGGTGCAGCTGCTGGATTAGAGGGAGAGTAGCCGTGGCTCGCCCCAGGCCCCCCCGGACGAATGCGGTGCATGCCTTGTTGTCTCCCACAGGGCGGTCAAGGATGCGCAGGGCGCCCACCACCCTTCACAACCCCACTAGGGCGTGTAGGAGCCCTGCTGTGTCTGCGCTCCAGCCATCACACTTCGCTGGGGTGCAGCGCAGCCCAGCGGCAGATATGGCATTGGTGGATTCATAAAGGCTGCTGCACACGACTCTGGCGCGCCGATCAGCGTCACATCATCCGCAAAGGCGAGGATGAGGACCTTTGGGTGTGCCAATGCGGTCTCCATGAGGGTTGGGTGTGGAGTGGTGAAGAATTAATAAGCAGGCCAAGGATGGGGTCCATATAGAATGTGTGTGGGTATGGGAGGAGGGGAGAACAGGTGCCGTGACGTTGATGAGGTGATGGTGCAGTCAGCTGGCGAGGATCACTGCTAATGTTGCTGCTACTCCTATTGAGAAATCTCGTATTGTTGCGGCTGTTGCTGTTGCCGCTGGGAGGATGGGAGACTTGCAAAAGAATGGGCGTGGGAGGTGAGAACAAAAGGGTCGTATATCTTGCAAGAGGATGGAAGAAGAGGAGGATGCTGAAGAGGAGGCGAGGGAGGCGGGACGAGGGGAAAGAAGCGGAGCGAGGATAGTATCAGCCCAGATGAGGGAGCGGAGAGGGTGAGATATGTGTCAGCTGCCACTATCGAGGACAAAGTTTAGGGTGGAAGAGAGGAGGGAGTGTGTGGGAGGAGAACGTGACAATGGATGCAAGAAGTCATTTGCATGAAAGTAGTGGGATACATGAAAGACAATGCACGAGAAGTATGGATGAGGTGTCTGAGCAATCTGGTATGGAAAGTAGAGTTGGTAGCACCTCTAGTGGAGGTGGAGGGAATGGAGCCCCTAAAAGGATAACTAGGAGCACCAGTGGAGGCATGGGCAGCCATAGCGACAGAGCGAAAGCCATAATGCTGCTGCTACTACGCTACTGGTGCTGCAGCGGCACTTGCTGGTGCTGCGGAAGCCAAGCCTCCAGCGCCCCACGGTTGCTGGGGTTATGGCTGCTGCTGTGCTTGGAACTGCAGGAAGTGCTAGAACTGCAGGAGCTGCTGTTGCTAAACAGAAGTAGCAGAGGAGGTGGAGGCAAGGTGAAGGTGCGCCCGGGTATGGCCTTCACATTAGCAAGAGGTGGGCAAGGCGTGATGTTGGACAAGTGAAGGGGGTTACTAGTGCTGCCGCAATCAAACCACGCGTCACCGAGAGCCCTGAAGCCGGTGTCGATGGGGTGGTTGATCTGCATGCACCTCTCACTGTCCTTAGGCCCGTGGTGACTCATTTAGTGGCAGCGGCTGGTGGAGCGGCGGCTGATGGGAGATGACAAGTCCCCAAGCCTAACGTTCGGCAAAAAATGCCATCACGAGACTACACACTCATAAACACTGGAGTGTCGTACAACAAGTTTTTGTAAACGCAAGCGTGCGCAACTCCTCGGCAAACCAAACCAAACAGCTGCACGATTAGATTCCACCAACACAGCCAATCGAATGATTACAACTCAGCATGATTGCGTTGCCGCACCGAACAGATTTATCGAGCACCAATCACACTTCACACATTGAAGCGCAAAACAACCCTACTCGATAAACCCAGAGCCACATATACAACTTTCTACACTAACCTTATCTTCGAGACAGGCAACTCGTACCACGAGGTTCCGCAAGACAATTCATTTCCCCCCCTGCAACGGAGCCACTAACGATAGTATCACAAACACACAAACGCACACCCATTCACTTCTACATTTAGCAAGTCGTATACAACCCTCACCCCATTCAACTTCTATGGCTTCCGAAGGTACCGAGACATCTTCAAGCCCGATCCTTGACCAAAATGCCACTAGTTCTGCAAACGTTGAGGAATCCTCGAGAAAGTGAGATGAGTTGCTGCCTAACTCTACTGTTTGGAGTATATTGATAAAGCTAGATGTAAAACCCCTAGAGCCAAGTGCAACATATGTTCCAAAAGTAATTCAATAACCTCTCTCTGTAACATGCATTAGGCAACCACGAGGCTAAGTACGTGGAGCTAGTGGAGGGCGGTAAGGTAAACCCTACGGGTCCCTAGGAATTTTACAAAAGAAAAACAGCGATGCCAATGACATTGTGCGCTCCATGCAACTGCATGACCCATGTACGGATACGGGGCATCGGGACATATTGGTCCGCGTTTTCTCACGGAAGATGCTACCCTTCTTCTTGGTGTATGGTGAATTGTTCAAGTTATGGGTAAAGTACCCGTATTTTGTTGAAAACCCCCATCACGCACCACCCTTCAACGTGACATCATCAACACATTAGATGCCACATTTCGCACCAAAGAGGCATTGTAGCAATTACATATCTCCTTCACATGTGATCTTTGGAGCTCGCACATGAGTTGGATGATAAGTTCAGTCATCACAACATCCTTGTAGACTTCCTCTATCTCCATGGCCATTATATGGGAGAAACCATCAAACATGCGTCTGTGGAGAGCATGTACGGAGGGGCTTGGTGACAACGACATGCCAATCACACTTGACAACGCATTTTGAAACAACATTTTTATCACTTTCTTATGTGACAAAAATGAATTTGGAGAGGATAATCAGATTTGTTGCTTTGCGCACGTCGTCTACCTTGCGACACTGCAAATTCTTCTTCAGATGCGGATGTGACTCTTACGAAAATCCGGTCACTATCGATTCACCTAGGAAGCTCATCCCTACGGATGAGGAATTTTGAGGTGATTTGCAAGCTGTACAACATCACAATAAAATCACTACTACGTGATTCTTTTACACGATGAGGAAGCTCACACGGCATGCTTGAGAAGGCATGGACTTTGCAGGTAGCGAACAACACAATTCTGGCTGAGGTGGCAAGCAATGTCAACGACACACTACGAATGTCTTCATCAGAATGGGAAGCATGCCATGACTTGGAGGGGGAGATCTTGGCTCATTTTGTAGTGGCAACAAAAATCATGGAGGGATCGACTTACAACACCATCTCTCTTTGCATTCTGTTCTACAATGAGCTCTTAGACCATCTTGGTGCATGCACGAGCAAGAAAATTACCTTCTTAACTGCTTGCTGCAATGGCATCATAAAATGGAAGTGTTATGACAATTAAAGCGAGGGGTCCATTGCAACGGTGTTGGACCCTTATCTCAATCTTGCCTACTTGGGTATCAAATAAATGTAGATAACAATAAGAAAAATAATTGTGGCGGCTTTTGAGGCTTATGCTCCCCGATTT